TAAGTTAATAAAACAGGATTTGCAATAATGATAATCAGAACGTTTAAGAAGGGGTGTAATTTAACAATACACGATAAGATGTTTTAAGACCAGAGTTACCGTATTGCCCCTAATTAAAGTCCCCTCTCCAATTATCTCCTCCTCCCGGGATTTTTATAAAGGTTACGTTGTGTGACAGCATATAATCCCCTACTGTAATTTTGACAGCAATAGTAATCCAACATATAATACACTTTTAGTCCTGGGATTTTGATTGAAAAAAAAACACACACTTATTAGCATTGAAATCAACCAATCACATGTGGCAAATCAGCGTCCCCCTTTTGCAGTATGCAACGCTTCCGGGGACGTTAATTAGGGGCAAAACGGTAGGTAAAGTATGATGAGTATATTACGAGTTCAAAAATATTTCAGCACAAGTATACAGTGATTTTCCTTTTTTTTACCTAAGGATAAAACAAATAAATAAAAATAAAACAGCAACAACTGCTTTCAGTTAAGATAATTTTAGAGCAGTAAATAAGTGTACTTGAAATTGACAGTTAACACATTTATAATTTCACGGTTTGCATTAGACACGAAACTTATGGTATAGCTTATATACAAATATATATTATTATTATTCAATTAGCTTTATAGCAGTAAAACGTGACGTTTTCATTTAAAAGCTCGATTCATTTAAATGTATTTTATTATTACAGAAGACACAACGTCATATAACCAAAGCCAATATTCTACCGAGGTCAAACTTAGGTTTCAAGCTATAACATGCAAATATATATAGTACGGAGGGTTATAAGGGCCACAACAAATATTTTCGTTTGAAATAAAATAAACTATATAGTTAATGATGCATACAGTATCAAAAGCAGTACATGTTTATACTGTTACGACAGCGGAAGTCACGTGATTCTGGTAACACGTGATGAGTTTCTAGAAGGATCGGGGAACATCACGAATAATCCAGTATTTGCTAGACGCCCTCTATTTTAGTCTGCTTTGAATTTAGCAGTGTAAGACAAGAGGAAAGGTAGCTAGTCAACATTACCCACCGCCAACTCTTGGACTTTTTTTTACCAACCATTTTATCAATGAATAACGGGATTGACCATTACATTATATTGCCCTCACGGCTGAAAAGGCGAACATGCTCGGTAACGGGGATTCAAACCTGCGACCCGCAAATTGCGAGTCGAGCGCTATAACCACCAGGCCACGTCAGGCCTACGCAGCAGTTGTGAGCCACTTAGTGAAAAAGATATATGCATACGGTGCACGAAACCAGAAAATAAAAAGCAACCCCAAAGAGACAAATTGTATCTTCTCTAATTGCTAGTTGCGTGGCTAAGTTTCAAGAAACACACAGTATACCCAAAAGACTGGGCAAAGCATAAATGGATCCTGGCTGTAATAGATTGTTCATCTGATTAATTTCCATCAAGTCCCCAAGCATATAAAAACCACCATAAAACTTTTGTCTCCGTAAATTGATTATAGAACCCCGACTTTTTTCCTTCCGAACCTTTCTTTGATGACAATCTCTGCGAATTGGATGAGATAGCAAGTAACATTAGAAATAAAACGATTTGCTGCTAAATAGCAAGTAACATTAGAAGTAAAAAGCTTTGCTGCTAAATAGCAAGTAACATTAGAAGTAAAACGATTTGCTGCTAAATAGCAAGTAACATTAGAAATAAAACGATTTGCTGCTAAATAGCAAGTAACATTAGAAGTAAAACGATTTGCTGCTAAATAGCAAGTAACATTAGAAGTAAAACGATTTGCTGCTAAATAGCAAGTAACATTAGAAGTAAAAAGCTTTGTTGATAAATTGATTTCTCCGAGATATACTGATTATTTTGAGGGGGAACATCCTACGGGCTTAACTAAGTATTTTCCAGATAAAAGGTATTGGACTAAAACTTTGAATATATTTATGTCACTTTGATGATTCGGTTATATTTAATAACTTTTCGGAAACGATGGGTAGTTTTTTTCCACACAGTGTTCATAAACTGTACTATATAAACTGGTATGGGCGTATACAAAAACTAAACAATTATAAAATGTTTCTTTCTTTATGGCAGTGAGTTACAAATTAACTTATATTGTTTCCCGACAGGGAATAAATAATCCGTTTTTCTTTATCCCACACATTTCTTCTTTTTTCTTTTTTAAGCAAGTTAGACGTTTCACCGCAGCAAAAGTATATGTTCTTCAGTGTTTTTCATAATGAATCCGAAAGAGATGACATATAATTTTGTGGATATGTACATGTATGTGTTGTCAAGTTTTTCAAAATACACAAACTGTTTAACTTGACTGCTGAGTATATTTAAACTTAGAATATTTGTTTTTGAAATTCTATAGTAGTAGTAGTACTACTACCATGGTCATTAAATTTGTTGATGACATTCGACTGTTCAGTTAATATTCGGATGTGTACTTTCGAAATTGGATGCTGTTTAAACATCCAAAACTCATGGGTTTTTATTGAAGATTTTTTATAGGGGATTTTATTTGGTGAGTGTTTTGACGCTGGATATATGAATGCCGAAGGTAGAACTCCATTCTAGTGGGCCCGGGGGCGTGACCCTGGAAGAATTATGAAAACAATTGTGCAGTGTGTTGTATTCTGGGCAGCGAATTGCTATCAGAGTTTGTTTGTAAACCAACAGTCTTTTTAGGAACGAGTTTAAACTGACAAAACTCCATCTTTGAAAAGCTCCTGTTCTGACTGTTCGAAACTTTACTCACCTAGTAGTATGTTAAAAGACTGGTGACGTCAGAGTGATCAATTTCTGTATGATTGATCAAGTAATTCAGTAGGAAGTTGTGAGTTGTAATCTGGTTGTATTATTATTACTTTTTTTAAACAAATTATTCTAGTACGTCTATAAACATGATCTAGTTGTATTCCCCAAGTTGGTTTTTACAAGCATATCTAAAATGGTGCAGTTTTTAGGGTACATAGATTTCTCATACCAAAAGTTATCATTAGAAATAAAACCCTCAAATTTGCAAAAAAATAAAGAAAGTTAGTTGTGGGAGGAAGTTTCCCTTCTTGTCATATGGAAAGAAAACCTTACCTTATATTCACCCAACCATTGCTTTTCATCAATACACACATCCAATTATTTACGTTTGCACATTCAATGCTTCATGTTAACACATCCAATACTTTACGTTAGCACGTCCAACAATTTATGTTAACAGGTTCAACACTTTATCTCAATAGATTCAATAATTTATGTTAACACATTCAATGATTCATGTTAACACATCCAGTATTTTGCGTTAACACATCCAAAACTTTATTTCAGGGTTTTTCAAAGTGTGGGTTGCCGAAGGTTTGAATTGGTGTCGCAAGTATCCCGGAAAATATTTTATGTTTCTGTAAAATGTACAGTAAAAAAAGAAGCAGCATTTCATATTTTATTACTTTTCACCCAATAAGAATAACATCAATAAAATCATGATAATTCTTTATAAAACGTCACATTTTAATACCGTTGAGAATCTGGATTTTCATTACTAGTCCAAACAAGATAAAAAAAAATTAACTGACTGAAAGATGTGAAAATAGAACTAGGACTAACAAGTCTACAACTGCTTTTGGAGAAACTATTATAAGAAATAACGAGTGAAACAAAGAAGAATATGGAATAATATGCCAACTACACTACATCTGCCATACCTAATGCCGATGAGGCCTTCGTCAATACCATTACTAATCAGGCCGGATCATACGACAGTCACAGTAGTAGTCTAGGCAATATTTATACCACCAATTTAACGACTGTTATGATGTGAACCAGATTATGTAAGATAATTGTAATTATTATCCATTACCAATCAGGCCGGATCATACGACAGTCACAGTAGTAGTCTAGGCAATATTTATACCACCAATTTAACGACTGTTATGATGTGAACCAGATTATGTAAGATAATTGTAATTACTATCCATTACCAATCAGAATGAAGATTGTTTGTTTGAATTTATGCACAAAGCTACACAATGGGCTATCTGTGCTCTGCCCACCATGGGTATCGAAACCCGGTTTCTAGCGTTGTAAATCCGCAGATATACCGCTGTGCCACTGGGGGGTAGGATGAAGATAAATAATTGAATGCGTTGTTTTACCTTCATCATTAAAAAAAAAAGAGAAAAGCTTAACAAAGCATTATTATTAGTACAATTTCTTGGATTTGTTTTATGTATGGTCAAAACGAAGGTGATATTTTGTAGGCGTAGTTTCGCGCCACGAAAAAAATTGTGAACCAATGCCTTATGTTAACAGATTCAATACTTTATGTTAACACATTTAATATTTTACGAGAACACATTTAGTGTTTCATTTGCGAGTTGATATTTCTACCAAAGAAGTTCGATGTACAAGTTTTCCTGAGGAATAAAACTATTACTAGTAATTTTAGAAGCTAACATAAAATATTGAATAGTTATTTTTATTTGTAGATTGATAATCGGACATAGATATTTTCATATCAAGATAATTAAAACACGAAGTATACAATCATCAAATATCACGTTTTATAAGAACATATGGCACACAATTTTAATATTTCATATAAAACAGTTTTTGGTTATGTAACTTCAAAATTATGACTTCCTTTTATGTAAGGCTAGTAATTCTTGGAAGAAAAAATGTAATATTTCATGATTTAATTACTATTATTTTTTGAAACCAACAAAACAAAACAAAGATAGAAAGACGTATAAGTCTTTGCCAGAAAGATTACTGGCGATAAGTGTGTTACCTAAACTACATATTCGCACACATATATGAATAAAGTAAAAATATAGACTTTCACATATACTAGAAGAATGGAATAACCTTCAATATTTTGTTTTGAAAATAGGAAAATACGTAGTTTACTAGAAGCTCCATTTCGACCAAAATCGGAGACATTTGGACTATTTACTTAATGAAGGTTGACGACAACATACTTGATCTTCTTATCTGTTTATTTTTTTCCTTTTCGTCATCGACTTCTTGTGTCGTTTGTGGTCCTAAAATAAAATATACATATATAACGCATAATCTCGTATTGTATGTAATGTACATAAGAAAAAGCATGATGCATTTACGTAATTTGTTACAATACTGCATTGTATTTGTTTAATAAAATATGAGCTTTCAGGTGCATATAAACAAATATATTCATCTCATTCTTAAAATATGTGCATAGTCTGATGGTTAGCGTAGTGGGGGGCCCAAGGTTTAAGCCTCGTTATGTCGCTGAATACATCTGAACTTTGAGTTTTGTGGGAGTTATAACTTTGATAACATTCTCGCTATTTGGTTAGGCGTAGTCGTATAAGGTGACGGTTGGTACTGGCTTGTTTTCTTCAGTTTTGAATTAGAGATGTCCATGTCTAACCCTTAAGGGCATATGACCTAGTCATTCAGTACAAGATATTGTTTCGCTTGAAAACATCAAATACTACAATATGTGTTAATATCAAGTGTGTATTCATTCAGCACAAGAAAATACAATTTATTACCTGTTAATTCCAGGTTTTTTTAGTGAGAAACGAATTTGGCAAATGCACGAGAGTGAGGAAAACCAGATAGTAAAAAATATCAAAACAGTGACAAAAATATAGAGGAAGTGTTTTTTTTTTCAAATGGGCAGTTTTAATTCCTAAAGAGCTTGTCCCTTTGAATTTAGTATTCTTTACAGCAATGTGAGGTTAGTGACCTCTTCATGAGTTATTTTGTCCATTGCACATGACCACAATTCAACCTTTGATATTAGTATTTTGCATTACTTTACAAGTCAGAGGTTATTGTCCTCACCACAAGTTATTATGTACGTTACATATAGCTAATATTTAACCTACGTCTGTTTAATTTTGAATCGAATAACCGTCGATTGATTTTATATTTATCATCAACAAACCTTTGTAGAAAAGAAAACAACATTAAAATACAATGGCAGAATTGTCTTTAGGTAAAATTTTAATTGGCAGTTAACTAAATTGAAATACCCAATCCCTGTTTAATGGGTTAAATGTTTATTAATAATAAACCAACAATATATTTCAAGTCATTTTAGCTGCGGCATGGCGGCTCATAGAATGGCTCCGAGTTTCTTTTCAAGTACAAGCTTTTAGCTCATAGCTCCGCCATCTCTTGACCGGTTTGAGATATAATTAAAGTTTTGAACTCAGGAGGTCAAACACTTTCGACTGATGTATTTGACTACGCCCAAGGTCTCAATTTACTCTAATCCTGGCTAAAATAATTTCATGTGCCGCGGCTATTAAGGATTCCATATTGTTTTTGTTTTAATAAAACTAGAATGGTTGTAAGTTTATATTTTATGTTAGTTGGCATGATGGGAGCTGCAGACATCATAAGACATCATCAGACATCATAGCTATCTGCGCTAGCCGTCCCTAATTTAGCAGTGTAAGACTAGAGGGAAGGCAGATAGTCATCACCACCCACCGTCAACTCTTGAGCTACTCTTTTACCAACGAATAGTG